GCAGGGGCTGCTCAGGCTGGGGTGGACAGGGCAGGGCCCTGGCACGTGGCTCCCCAGCCCTCCTGCCTTGAGAATCCTTTTTGCCACACGGGCAGGGAGAAGAGCACGATGCACTCCCTGACTGCCCCTGCAGCTGCAGGTGCCCCCAGCTCCAGCAAGGCAGGTGCCCAGGAGCACCCCGACGTGCACCCTGGCGAGGGTGTGGGGCACATGGAGCCCTGCTCTTCAAGCTGACCGAGGGTGTTATCAATTGCCTAAATCCTCTCCCTGCTTTATCTGCAACCTTCAGTTCTCACAGCTCAAGCTGGGAAGCCCGGGCAGGGCCAGGGACACCGTTTGGGAACGCAGCGCAGAGCTTTTGTTTGTCCGTAGACAAAGGCCAAGGAAGAAAGGAGGTCACGCTTCCTTCTGCTGCTCCAGCTTCTCCCTTCCTGGAGCCAGGGCGAGCGTACGGAGAGGTGGCTCACGCGTACCTGACCGCAAAGGGAGGGTTTCCAGAGGTGGGGGGTGTTTAATTCCGCAGCCCACGGAATGAGCCCGCCACCCGCCAGGAGTCCTGCCCGCCCAGCAACCAACGGGCTTTCCCTGAAGTCGCCCAGCACCCAGGGTTCGTTTGGGGGTTCTGGGGTGCAGAGCTGCCGTGCGGTTTATACAATGCTCCACGTGAAGCACAGCATGTCGCGGCTGCTCCCCGCTGTCCTTGCGCCTCCGGCTGGGAAGCGGCTGCACCGGGCTCCGGGAACCGCTCACCTCCCTGTCCTGTCCGGGGGGGACACAGCCCCGCTCCCCTACGAGTTCTGTACAGATTTTTCAGTGCAAGATAAGGCAGAGATTTCAAATACATCCGAGAGATTTTTTACACCTGTCTCGTTACAGAATATCTGAAGTGCATGATTTCTACACGCATTGACTCCCTGGAAGCAGAGCCTGAGGAAGCAGGCTGGCTTGGTAACTGTCTGACAGTTTGGTACCATTCGTACAGTGGATAAGCAAAGATTATTACCAATAAACAGTTGTGCTGAAAACAGGAGGGGCTCTGCCTCTGCTCGTGTCACTAGTCCAGGGTCAAGCGAAACAGCGGGGTTGGGTCCTGCTGACCCCAGCGGCTGCTGGTGGGGAGAAACGGGCTGGAGAAGCAGGAGCTCCAGGGTGGGACGAGGGGATGGGTCTGGGCTGACTTTGCAAGCGATGCAGTGAGCAAGCGTATGGCTTTAAAATCCCCAGCCCCGTGGCACTTCTGTCCTGGCCAGTTACAGCCTCCCTGGCCCAGATTTCACCCGCAGCCCACGCTGCCAGGGAGCAGCATCCGCTTTGCACCCGCCTGCATCTGCCATACCCCGTCAGTCCCAGTGCCGTGAGCCCCGGCAGCGCGCGCAGCCGTAGGTGACAGCAGCGCTGCATGTGCCCGAGGCAGCAGAGACTGTCACCACTCCGTGATGGAGACTGTCACCACTCCTGCCCCAGCTCCACGCGCTCTCCAGGCTCCACAGCAGGGCCCCAGCCTGCCGGAGAGGCTTCACAGAAACCATTTGGGAAAATGCTTCCAGCTACCTGCACTGATGCACCAAAGGCAGCAGCTCCATCGGGAACAGCTCCCGGGCTGCCACTCAATTCCTGCCCGGTAGCCTGATGGTCGGTGCCCAATGGCACCCCGAGCCCAGGGCCAGCTCGGTGACACGAGACCTCACTCAGCCCGATGCCCTCGGCCGCAGCACCCTCACCTGTGCAGGCAGGACACAGCCCACGCAGTGGCTGCTCCTCATCATCTTGTACATGAAACGACCAATTTTTAAGCATCCTCTCTCCAGTGCAGCCATTAAGGCAAGGGCCGGGAGCTCTTTGCTGTGCTTCCCCAAGACAACTTTCCTCTTAATGCTCAAAGGACAGAAAATGGACTTGGTGGCCAGATGCAGCTCCAGGACCAAAAGGGAGCGAAGCCCCCAGCTGTTCCACTGCCGACAGACGGCACAGCAGATTGTCGCAGATGATTCCTGACGCCAGCAGGCAAATCCATCGATTTTGTGCTTTGCTGCTGTGCCAAAACTCCCTCCTGTCCCTCTCAGGCTTTTCCTTCAACTTCTTCGTGTTTCCTGATAGAGCACACAACCACTTCCCAAAACACCCAGCGAGGAGACAGCAGGATCTCCCCTGGGGACGCGGAGCAGCCTGGAGCTGCCTCGCAGCCCTGCCCGCTGTCCCGCTGCTGCCAGCAGTCTGAGCATGGCAGAGGGAACCCAGATCAGGGCTGCCAGGGGTGCAGAGAGGAGACAGAGCCACATCTAAGAGAGGCAGCCTCTTGGCTCAGCAAGTCAGAGGAGCCCAGGGCATCGCAAGAGGGCTGGAGCACACAACCCTCTTCCCTCCTGCCTTCTCCCACCACCTCGTCCCTCACCTACATGGTGCCTCTGTGCTGTGCTCCAGAACCAAAGCAGCTTGTCCATAACTCAGGGAAGCAGTGCCTTATTCCGTGCCCCTTTCCGCAGGGGTGTCACCGAGGCAGGAGGTCTCCTGGATGGCTGTAGCTCAGGTTTTCCTAAGAGGTTTCACATTCACACTGCCGTTAGCCAACAGGCAACTGATAGCCCTTCAGCACAGAGCAGTTTGACTGCTATAGTGCCCAGGAGGAGGGACAGGGCAGCAGGGAGCAGTGCCACACGGCTCTCCCCCTGCTGAAACGCCTCCTCAGCTGCCAGAGCTGGAAGCCAGATGGCAAACCATGCCCAGCCACCCCCTGAGCAAGCAGCTGGCTCTTCCTCAGGAGTCCACTGAATTTCCCAGCCAAGGTCTGCGGAGGAGCCACCTCGGGAATCGGCTGTCAGGGTGGAACAAGAAGCTGTCACGATGGTGACTTTACCGTGCCCAGCTCCCGGGGTGCCCTGCGAACACCAACAGAGTCTGCTCCCCACTCCACAGCAAAGCCAGTAACACATCTACCTTCAGCTTTCTTCTCAGACCCTGACAAGCAGCTAATTTGCAGGAGTGGTTGAAGCCACAGGTAACCAGGGCAGGGACTCATGGTGGGGAGCTAACCAGGGGTACCGGGTCACCCAGCCCCAAGCCCCCACCACAGGAATCACAAAGACCACCAAGCAGTAAGTGGGACTCTGGCCGCTGACACGTAGCGCTTGGATGAGCCTTGGAGACTCTTTTATTTTCACAGTCACAGTGACGTGTGTGTCTATAACAGCAGGCTTTGAAACACACGGTGCAGTCAGACACAGGTGTGCACCACCCACATCCAAGCAGCCATCACCACCGATCCCCCCGGGCAGCACCGAGAGGGGACACGCGTCTGAGCAGAAAGAGAACAGCTGCCAAGGGGCTACAAAACCTCTTTGGTCCCAGTAGCTTAAGGGGCTCCCACTTGCCTTTTCTGTCAACAGAGCACAGACAGATTGGGCAGCAAGAGCAAGGAGGTGAAAGAAGGTTCTCCAGCAGGAGGGAGAGGAGGAGGCCGAAGGCCGGGGGGCAGGCAGGACGTGCGGTGCCTTCATACCACCACGGCCCCTTGAGAGCCCGGCAGGTTATGGCTGCGCTGGTGGGCAGTGGGAAAGGCAGCGCTGTGCCACACAGTCCCGGGATCAGGTGCCCGTGGAGGGACAAGGAGCTCGTTCGGCTGCAGAACAGAAACCCCTAACAGCCCCTGTCGGGGGATGATGAGTTGTGCAGCACTGGTCCTGCCGCAGTGAGTCTGAGAACACGCAGGCTCTGTGAATCACGGCACGGCGCCGGGTCGTGGCAGGGCATCGTTTCTACAGATTAACAGATATAAATAAAGCCCAAGTCTGACCAGGGCAAGTGCAGGCACAGAACTCCAGGCAGATGCAGGGTCTGACTGACGTCTCTGAAAGCCAGTCCTGTCCGGTAGCCTGGTGTCCAGGTAGCTTAGAGCAATAAGAGGTTTTACTTTAGGTCAAGGCACTCCAGGAGTCTCCGCCTGTGGTGGCAGAGCTCCATGAACAGTCCTAGAGTCAATGTAAACCCAGGAGCCCAACACAGCCATTTCCTACCTTCAGCCTTTGGTAGGTGCCAACATCAGCAACACCCTGCGTAGCACGGAAGGCGCTGCAGGAACAGGGCAGTAAGAGTGCCCCTTCCTTGGGGCGAGGCAGGCTGGAGACCCCGTAGACTTGGCACAGAGCCTCGTGCCTCCTATGGAATAAAGAGCTTTGAGATTTTGCCTTTTGGAGATGAACTAACTTTCAGCATGGGCTGAGACACGTTGCCTCGGTGCATCAGTTCAAAGCAGGTTCACTCCGTGCTTCAGCAGCTTCTGCTTGGCCTTGCCCGGCAAGCTGAACGCACTGTCGTGAGGGTTGGGAACGCCCGAGTTGCGGAGCGGAGCACCCAGCTGCTGGAAGTAGGTTTCCTGGACGGGATTCCGGCAGGCGTACACGGCCGTGGAGGCGTTCCTAGCAGGGCAGGAGAGAAGGCAGCAGTCAGGCTTTACAGCTTTGTGCAAGATCCCCTTCAACTCACCAAGCTGAGCAGCGGGATACTTGTGGCACTGGGCTCTCAGCTGTCGAGAGGGACTTTTTGGTCTCTTGGCAGAGCAAAGGAACACAGAGCTAAAACGGCACCAACCCCTGCAATGCATTGCCAGAAGGCCACAGGGAACCAGCCCCTCCTTCTCAAGGGTCCTGGCACCCTAGAAGAGAAAGCATCATACGCCTCATCCTCTGGGACCTACTCGGCAGCACTAACACCCATGCACGTGGCCACCCTCTGAGTATTTCCCTTGCTGGCTGACCAGTCCGGCGTATCAAGAGCTGGTAGTTAAATACTCGTCGTGTCTGACACCTCGTCCTTCCTGGAGGAACCTGTCTCACTGCTGCTGTCCATAAGCAAATCCCAGCACAGCATCCTCGCTCGCAGCAGGGACCATATGAGGTTGTTTAGCCCCCCGTGTGACAAAGCTCAGACACTAGTCAGACATCGTAACCAAGGAGGCTCAAGTCGTTGATTAAAAACCACCTCTCAGTATTTACCTGTGAGAGGGCTGGCAGGGAGCAAAGGACTCTGCATTCCCTCCTTGACAGAAGAAAGCAGCAACTGGTATGTTTGCTGACACCCTTCTGCGACAACTCTCCATACAAGAAAGCAGTTTTAGTCATCCTGTTACTCAGTCTGATTCACACATGGAGTTGCTTTTTTTGGGGCACCACAGAATACGCCAGCTTAGCTGGTACGGGATTTGAGGAGCCAGTCAAACTGAGGCTAAACACGGAGCTCTCCAGCACTGGAGTGCATGATTCACATCCTTGGCAAGCTGTGTCAGAGGAGTGAAACCGTGTAATTCCCAGAAGCATCTTTATTTCATCATGTTTTGGACAAACAAGCACAGCCAGGCCAGCAGAATCTGTGCACTCCCAACAAAACCATCCTCCCCTGAGCTGCCACAGGAGCGGGGCGAGTGCCGTGCCACGCGATCAGCCACGGGCACGCAGAAGGGCTCCGGCTGCCATAAGCCCATCTCGCCTGGCGCATGACAATTGAGTTTGCCACGCACATCGCAGCGTGTTTCCAACTCAACGAGCCGTGCAAGAAAACAAAATCTAGGTTGCCAATTCTGGGTGCCTTTGGCTCCCAGCCGAGACACAAATTTATTAGGAACAGCTATATTTAACACTGCGCCTTAGAACCTTACGGTGGCAGGAACTGGCAATATTCTGGCATCGTATCTTAATCCAAATCCGTGGCACAACTCAGCCGTGCCTTCGGTTCACTCGCCTCGGTGCCATCCTGGCCTCTCAATGCCCAGATCACACTGTGGGCAGAATATTAAGTAGCCCACACCTAACGAGCCAACTTCAGGGAACACGGTGACACGACTGACCCTCGGCAAGAGACACCCCTGTGACTACAACGCGTGCCAAACCTCAGCCAGCCTTGGAAAAGGGGTTCCCCTCTTCTGTGTGCCACACAGCACTCCTGTGCCTGGACGAGGAGGGAGTTATTAGCACACCTTACCTAATTATCACCTCGGAAGCAGTCGGAAGCTGGCTGAAGTCGGAGTGGATCAGCGTAGCAGCTCTCAGGAAGTGCCGATCCAGAGGTCCGGGCGTATGGGGCAGGTTGGCTGCAGAACAGGAGTAAGGGGTGTGGGTTAAAAGCCCACTCTGCAGAGGAGCGTGTCCCCATTTACCACGGGGGAAAAGGCTGCGGACCTCTCCCACAGACCCTGGATATCTGCAGAACAGAGACTGGGTGACACCTTAAGCCTCAGTGTGACCTCAATGAAACTCGTATGCAGCTCGCACCGTGCTCAGCCATGCACAAACAAAAAGCCTGGTGGTACCTTTTCCCGTGTGTACACACATCAGAGGGGGGAAGGCCTGAGACCTGGGTTACCTAGAATCCCTGGGGTTTCTTTCTTTC